ACAAGCAGAGAATAAACAAATAAAAGAGGCAAGTACTACTATATGCCAGTTACTGTGCTAGCCTCTCATGTCCTTTAATACCTACAACAGCCCTAAGGAGTGGGTACCATTACCACCATTAGTGGGTCAACAGCAGCTCGGCCATTCAAAGAGAAGGCCACATGACCAAAAACAAGCTTTTGAGGAAATGAATCCCTTTGGCCAGAACAGAACTGAGATTATCCTAGTCACTGATCTGAAAGGTACTTTTGAGTCCTTCCAGTGTTATTTAGCTGCCTCCTACTGTGACTCTGAGTCAAAACAGGAACAACGTGCCTAATTTGTAATATTATCCAATGATTTCAGGGATGTGGTTAGCTTTGATTACAAATCCCAGACTCAGTATGCTCCCCTTTCCACTGTGTAGGCATGTAGAGAAAAAGAGAAACTGGATGAGGTAGAGATTAAAACAAAACAAGGCTCTCCAAACATCTTGTGATTTTAAAAGATGTCAGAATACTCTGCTCATGCATTGTGGTCAAAACTGAACTATCCTCAATTCTCGGGGGGGGGGGAGGTCTAAATAAAGGAGCTCTGGTGGCGTAGTGCCTAAGGCATTTGACCACTAACCAGAAGGCTGGCAGTTCAACCCCACCAGCCACTCCTCAGACGGAAGGTTGGGCAATCTACTTCCATAGAGAAGTAGTAGTAGCCTTGGAAACCCAAGGAAGGGTCACTATGAGTCGGCTCTGACTTGACAGCAGTGCATAGCACTTGTTTGTTTACCTTCACTATTGCTGCTAATTGCTGTTGAGTTGATTCTGACTCATAGAGATTCCATGTGTGCAGAGCAGAACTGCTGCATAGGGTTTACCAGACTGAGACCTTTCAGAAGCAGATCACCAGGGCTGTCTTCTGAAGCACCTCAGGGTGAGTACCAACCACTAGGTTTTTGGCTAGTAGTCAACTGTTTAACCATTTGCGCCACCTAAGGACTCACCTTTCTATCTTCAAACAAGTTAAAGTCCCAAATCCTCTATTAAAGGCCCAAACGATACTGATAGCTAGCAGTGACTTCCTCCTCTGTGCCAACCACTCTTGTAAACATCATTCATGTATTAATGTGTTTGATCATCACAACAACCCCTACTTTTTATTTCCATTTTACAGATTAGGAAACTGGACTATAAGTTGGTATCAGGTAACTAACCAGGCAAAGCGGTGAAGCTAATGAACCTTATGTCAAGAAAACACTGCTTTACCACCAGTGGCATCAGTGAGGAGAAGAGGTTGCAGGGAGTGCAAACCACAACCCCTCAAGGAGGGTGACACAAAAATGACCCCAAGGTTGGTGGAGGTGGGTGGGAGGAAAGAAGGAGGAGCCACCAAGACAGTTACTAGGGTTGGTGTCAGCCATCACTCAGTGTGGTAACTTGTTACCACCATCCCCATCAGCCATCAGTCAGAAGGTTCTCCACCTTGGTCAACAGGAGAGGGGAAGAGCTGTGGGAGCCATGGTGGGGTGTGGCTGGGAGGGCTCTGCCCTGCAAGGGGGAGGGGCGACATCAACCCTAGTAACACCAACACCATTATCACCCATCCTTAACCATTCCACTAAACTGTTTCTCTCTTGCCTAAAGTCATAGATATCCTCCCATGTCCAGTGCTCTGCAACGAAAATTAAGTATATTTATTGTATTTGGAAACCATTTATGGAATGAATAAAACCACGAGTGGTTGTGTTTGATTCTTAAAGGTTCAGTCAGAGATCAATAACCACGTACCATCTTTGCAATATTCTGCCCTGAGAGTGAAAATGGGTATGTCATTTGCAAGTAAACAGAGCAGCTGTTAATTCTGAATTCTCTCCCCCCATATCTTATGCTTCCCCTTCAGTCCTGGAGCCTGGCAGGCCTTCTCGATGGACAGCTGTCACCAGACCATCAGTAATGGCCAATGCAAATTCCCTCTCTTCCAATGGAATCCATGTTTTGGTGAGTACAGGGGTAGCATACGAATTTTAAAACATGTACATATATTTTCTATTTAGAAAGAGACAGAAGGATGGGGATAGAGAAGAAGAGAAAGAAAGAAGGAAATAAAAAGAAAGAAGGGAGGGAGGATGGGAGGAAGGAAAACCCTTATAGGTTTTAGTGCTAGACATGTTGCTGTTGCTGTTGTTAGGTGTCATCAAGTCGACTTTGACTCATAGTGACCCATGTGACAGAGGAGAATTTCACCATCGGGTTTCCATAGAGTTTTCTAGGCTGTAAACTTTACAGAAGCAGACTGCCAGGTCTTTCTTCTGTGGCCCATTACAAATCCTACCCTGACAGCAACTAGCTGTTTGATCCCAAAAATACTGTTTAACTTCTCTAAACTTGGTTTTCTCATCCATAAAGTGCAGATACTGATAGGGCCTCCTCAGGAGGTGACTGTAAGGATGAAATGAGGCCACGAAATGGAAAGCAAGGGCTTAGCATCTGCACAGCAACAGTGCCTTCTCGTTGCATGTTAGTTATCATTAACATTAGCACTGAATAGAAAGACCTCTATCTGTAAAGAAGATAAATCTTGTGGCTCAACTTCTTTGTCCTTATCTATTTAAGAAAAGTAAAAGATGTAATTAATTATTGCCCACATGTGTTGCAGACCAGAAATCTGGTAACAATAACAGAATACTGCAAGAATAATAAAATGGTGTAAAGCACTTCAAAGCTTTTGAGTTTGATGTTGGTTGACTTGAAGTAAAGAAATAAAAAATGCTTTCATATTTTTCATTTCCCTGGTATAAATAAGAGGAGGTGGAAATAAGAGGAGAAATGGATCCCAGAAATTTTGCTACTAATATCTATACTGTTTTGAGTGGGGGTGAAAGATATTTACAAAGTGACCACAACACCTTTCACCCTGAACTCCCACTGGAGCAGTTTAGAAGATTCTGCAAAGCACTCAGACCTCTGAGTCATCAGCTGTGCCAAGTTTCCTGAGTATGATAAGAAATTGCCTTTAAGTTGATTATCTTACCTTCCAAGGAACAAAAAATATTAGTCTGATAATGAATAACAAGGAAAACATGAATGGAGACTTATGCTTATCACCTGTGTCAAAATACACTGGAAAGTGAAGGCATTCATATCTCAAGGGTGTGTAGTATGTCTCTATTCAACTTGCACTCCATTAATGAACTTTTTTCATTTTGGATGAAATAAACTACTCCATTGTGGACAAGCCAGTATGCAAAGTAGAGACAAGTTTCATACATGGTAGTAAATATGCCTGGATATTCTACCATTAAAGGTTAATTCTTTTGGCTGAGCCTAGGCCTCCTTTTAAGATTTCAGGTGTTGCCATACTTCAATGTGATTTAATCTATTTACATCTTCTCTCCTAAATCAAATCATATAAGGTAACTGAAAGAAATAGAGTGTTCATAGGATGAGATAATAGGGAGGGTGATTTTGGAAAGTGGTGTACTGACAAGATGTGTACACAGTCTCAGTGCTGAGAAGCTGACATAGGTGGGGAGTTGGGCAGGAAGGGAGGGAAAATGGAGGCAGGTGAAGGACACAGAGTAACAGAGAGGCAGGGGTCTATTGAATCAGACCCATTTTGGGGCCAAGAAACTGCGGATTAAAATAATCTTTTCCTAAAACCAGATGATTATTTTCACTGTCAGAGTGGCAAAACTAAGACTGTCAGTATTGGAGAAGGTATGGAAATCTACATGCTCAGACACCATTTTGTGAGGGAAGGACAATTTAGTAGTTACCCAAAGTCAAAATGTGTATAACTTCAGATTCAGAAATTTCACTTCTAGGAACTCATCCTGCAGAAATTTTAGCACAAATGTACAAGATATCTGTGCAAAGATATTCAATATAGCATTAGGTAGAAGACTGGGGACATCAGAATAATTTATCAACAGGGGATGGTTAAATCAATCACAGATGATACATAAATATTGTGGACTTCTATACACCAATTAAAAGGTATGTAGTGCATCTACATGTATTGACCTGCTTAGAAGGAGGTGTAAAAGTAGTTTAGCAAAAAAAAGCTGCAAAATAATGTTTATGGTATAATCAATTGTTTGCAATGAAGGATGGAAAGAGGGAAGGAGAGAAGGAAAGACAGAAGGGAGGAGAAAGAGAGGAGGAAGATAGAAAAAATATGAATTAATGAGAGAGGCACATGTACCACCCAACAAAGCATTAGTATTGATTATCTATTGGGTTGGGAGTAAGAGGTGGAAAATGTACTTTCATTTTAAAATTTGTACACTCTTGTATTATGTGAATTTTTTGATAAGGATAACTACTTTTGTGATTAAAAATCACTGTTTTTTTTTTTTTTTTTTAAATTAATATAATGTGTGTTTCCCCTTCAAGCCAAGTGAATGTTGAACTTCAAAAACCAGGTCAGTTTCTAATGTAGTCTTCCCCCAGCTCAAGGGATAAAACTTGGCTCAACATTTTCCCCCTGCATTTCAGTTCTTCTCTCAAATGGGACCTTCTAGAAGTAAGTGCAAGAAATCAACTGAGTTAATTCAAAAAGGTTCTTCTCCTGGATCTAGGAGCTTTCTTTAAATCTCTAGATCAGTGGTTCTCAGACGTCAGCTACATCACAATATCCTAGAGAGCTTGTTAAAACACAAATGACTAGGACCTATCTCAGAATTTCTGATTGAGCAGATCAGGGGATGGGCCCAAGAATCTGCATTTCTAAGTTGCCAGATGATCCTGATGCTTCTCTTCCAGGGACTGCATGAGAACCACTGCTCTAAGGAGAACAAAACCACTCAAGAAAGGCGAACAGTAATGTCGGTCTTGATGAGCCAGATTTGATAAGGAACAGAACCCACTGTGGTTACCTTCTATACCCATCTGCTAAATAGATTCCTAATCCACAGATCCAAGCTCTCTCCAGCATCAGCCACAGGAGTACTTGTATCTGTCCATGATACAAGACATCAAAACAAAGGAGGGCAGGCTTGGGACTCCTGGGAGAAGAAAACTCACCTTCCGAGAAGATGATGTGGTCATTACACTCTTCAGAGCTACAGGAACACATAAAGAAGGTCTCGCCAATCACTTTCTTCTCCTTCATAACACACTTTGAAGCAGCAGCATCTTCCAGAACAAATCCATGGTAGGGGAGCTTGGGGTCATGGCAAAGTGTCTCTAGTGTTATGTTCTCATCATTTTTTCTCCTAGGGTGCAAAGGGTCATGGGGAGGGGAAGACAGAGAGAAAAATAGAATGAATGAATGAGTATGATTTCAATTTGGACTACATTTCATTCATAAAGTCATTTCAAACAATGGCAGCTGGCTCCAGAGGTCTAACATGAGCAGGCTGCCCTATAGTCTCTTGTGCTTCTTTTACTCATTTCAGTTTTTGCTTTGCTTAGTCTCAGAACTCACTTATGATTATAAACCAGAGGGATTTCCTTAAGGACTGTTCTTCTGGAGAATTGCACACATTAAGTCTTAATTAAGCCCTTAAAGGAGAGGGCATGGGAGAACAGAAGAGTCCTAGCTACTCAGGATTATTTTAAACCTTCCTTCCTAAACATACTGCAGGGCTTACACTGCATCCCCAGTTTGTTTGGCAGAATCCAGCTCATGTCTCTGAAAGTGTTCTCAAAGAGCATGCCTGGGAAAGCAGTCATGGTTCCTCTGCTGTTGTTTGGTGGGCCCCAGGGCACTGCGTGAGGGCATATTCCATGTCAACAGCTGGCTGCCTGAGAAAAAGGAAGAAACCTCCTAGACAGGGAATTCATTCCCCAAATTCCAGATGGAAAGCTGAGAAAAAATTATGAAGACACATGGGAAGGAATTGCTGGGTGTTCTTCATATACAGTTCATTGAAATACTTTACATTTAGTATCCCTTCACATCCTGTATTTGGAGCCTAACTCAGCTAAGGGATCAAATAAAAATCTGGCATTATTTCTCTGCCTACTACCCTCTGAGCCTTCCTCATAAACTTGGCATCCTAGATAACTCCCTAACATCAACGACGGCTTCACATCCTCCCTCCAATCTCTGTCCTTTCCAGATGCCAATTACCTGCTGTCTTGAGTCATATTCTTTATATCTAGATGGGGAGCCTAGTGGAACCTTATTACAGGAAGGATTATGGATGTACGCATATAAGTACACATGTGAGCCAACACACGTGTATGCCTGCACACTCAATCCCCCATACAGACAAATAAGCTCACTGCTCACAGCAAGGTAAACCAAAGACAAGCTTGGGTCACACTCAAGTGAGAAAGAGCAACTTTAATTAGTCCCACCTTCTAAGTGCCTAATTCAAGGACAATGTGTCAATAAGAGGAGCAGGGTAGGTGTGTGGTAAGGACAGAACAGCCTAACAGGAGTGGAGTGGTGTTTGTGACATCTATACAGCCCAGAGTGTACCCCTTTGTGAAGGAGCTCAAGGGTCAAGGGTTGCAATGGAAACTCCCACCAGCTCAGGAGGAGGAGGAAGCCTTTCCTGAGCTGGTCTCTACTGTTAAAGGCAGAGTGGCAGGCAAGCAGACTTCTGAGTCAAGGGCAGCTATCAGGGAACTCAATGAAACTAAAGTTGATGTCATCACACAATAATGAGGTAGAGTTTTAAATCTATCCATTTTTAACCCTAAAGCTATCAAGCTACCTAGCTATCTTTGCAAAAGCTGTGGTCATGGTACATGAACACGTTCCTCACCTTGGCTGTATGAGTGTGTGTGCATGTGCATGTGTGTGTGGGGGAGGTTTATTTTGTTCAAAGTACTACAATGAAGACAAGCTTAATCCTCTATGTTGTTGTTGTTGTTATGTGCCGTCGAGTCAAACCCAACTCATAGCGACCCCTCCTTGGGCTTCCGAGGCAGTATCACTACGGAAGTAGGATTGCCCAACCTTCCTTCCGAGGAGTGGCTGGTGGGTATACTCCCACAGAAAAAGCATGATGCCTCTTCCTTCTGAACCTTCCAGGGGCCAAGAAATGGGACACACTGAGAGGAAGCTCAGTAACTCCTGGAACTGGGTAACCTTCTTAAATGATTTCTCTATTCCTGTAAGGAGCCCAATGCCAGGCAGAGTTAATATTCCAAAGCATCTCTGGATACAACTGAGCACAGGAAGGAAAATTTAATGAAATAAATAAAGGCAGTCCCCAGGTTACAAACGTCCTAATTTACAGACAACTCCTATTTGTCTTTTTGTTATTGTTACATGCCATCGAGTTAGTTCAGACTCATAGTGACCTCACGTACAACAGAATGAAACAATGCTAACTCCTGCACTATACTCACAATTGTTCCTATGCTTAGCCCATTGTTGCAGCCACTGTGTCAATCCATCTCATTGGAGGTCATCTTCTTTTTACTGACTCTCTAACTTACCAAGCATCATGTCCTTCTCCATGGATTGGTCCCTCCTGATAACATGTCCAAAGTACATGAGAAAAAGTCTCCCACCCTCGCTTCTAAGTAACATTCTGGCTGTACTTGTTCCAAGACAGATTGGTTTGTTCTTCTGGCAGTCCATGCTATATTCAATATTCTTTGCCAATACCATAATTCAAAGGCACGAATTCTTCCTCAGTCTTCTTTATTCACTGTCCATCTTCCAAATGCATATGACACAACTGAAAATATGATGGGTTGGGTCAGGCACACCTTGGCCCTCAAAGGGACATCTTTGGTTCTTAACACTTTAAAGAGGTCTTTTGTAGCAGATTTGCCAAATGAAATGTGTTGTTTGATATCTTGACTGATGCCTCCAGGGGTGTTGATTGTAGATCTAAGTAAAATGAAATCTTGCCCTTTAATGTTATGTAACTTTGCACTCGCTTTGAAACAATTTAACCAACCCCAACCCAACACATTTTTCATTACAATCACCTTCACTTGCAGCACATGCAGGTTTTAAATCACTGAAAAAGTTTTGAGCCTTTTCTTGCACTAAATAAGAACCATATGCACCTGTTCCAATTCATCTACAAATTCCACTTAAAAGACTTAAATACCCAATTAGGAACCGATCTTGTTCATAACTCAGGGACTGTCTATATTGATTTCATTTTTTGTCCTGCAACATTTATTCTAAGCCATTCAAGAGGTCATCAATATCCACTGGATAAAGAATCAAAGTAATAAAAGTAATTTTGATTCCAAAACTTTTCCATCCTTCAAAAGAACTTAAGCATTTTCCATGGAATAGGTGCACAACAGACATTAGTTAAATGGATGAATGAATCACTGAAAGAATGAAAACACTAAACTCTAAAGACATAGGAATTATTGGCATAATTATTTTTAGTTCCCATATTTGTCTACTTTAAAAATAGACTCTTCTCACCATCCCCAGTTTGGTTTTCACATGAGAATACAGCCCTAGCCAACACCTTGACTGCAGTCTTACTGAAGATCCCACTAACTCTTACCTGAATTCCTGACTCACAGAAATGCTGAGTGGATAAACAGGTGTTATTCTAAAATAAAATCAAATAGCCTCCTCTCTGAGTTTGGGTTCTTAGTTTGAGGTTCTGTGATCATGGTGCAGAAGGGTTTTTGAGATGCAACCAAAAGCGATTGAAGGAAGCAGTATTAAGCAGACGAAGAAGCTGAACCACACTGCAGGTTGTAAAGAGGGCTCAGCTGATCTCAAGGAAGCATTGAAGCTGGGATGGCCCTTTAAAGTCGTTCCAAATGGAGGCACAGTGGTCTATCATTTTTACTCTCCAATCAACCATCATTGGATACTGGCCACTCATAAGGAGGGGGCAAACTTGAATGAAGTAGCTTCCTTCAGTGGAAGGGAATTCCCTGTATCCAAAAGCCATCATGCCCAGCAGCTTAGGGCAGTGAGTACCATGGAAAGGGCATCTTCCAAATGCACCGCACTATCTACTATACCTCCCTTCCTCATTAGCTACACTCCAACTACAAAGGTATATTTGCTTTCACCACAACAGGTAACAATAACATCCATTGTATTATTTTTTATAGGTACAACAGAGGGGAAACAGGGAGCTTTCTTCTCCCTCACACACTCACTGAGATCAGCAGAGACTTTCTTTCTATAACTTGGACTTGTATTATGGGTCAGGAAAAAAAAATGCTTTAATTAGAAGAATCTCTTTTCTGCAGCAGAAGTGAGCTCTCCCACCGAGTATTTAAGCAAAGATGATCAGTGGAGGACAGCACCATGGAAAGAATCATTGAGGTCATCTTGTCTTGTGTCCTAATCTTTCCTGCACTATATCAGCCTTTACTGATCTTTACTTGACTCTTCCAGAGAAGAAAGTCTGTCTCACCACTGGGAAACTATGATAGCAAAAAGGTGCCCACTTATATTGAACACAAGTCTGTCTCCTTGTAAATTTTATGGATCTTCCTCCTATCCTTCAGAGTTATACAGTGGATGTTTATTATATTTTCCACCTGAAGAACTTCAAATACCTCCCAACAGAACTCACATTTTCTCTTTACTAAGCTAACCATATCTAACTGTCTCAACCTTTCCTCCAAGGAGAAGTTCTAGTGGTGTAGTAGTTAAAGCATTCGACTGCTAACCAGAAAGTTAGTTGGAACCCACTAGCCTCTCTGCTGGAGAAAGATGAGGCAGTCTGTGTCCATCAAAATTATAGCCTTGGAAACAGGATGGGGCAGTTCTACTCTGTCCTAAAAGGGTCACTATGAGTTGGAATCTACTCAATGACAGTGGGTTGTTTTTTGTTTGTTTTCCTCAGATGGTGTGGTAGTTAAGTTTGTGTGTCAACTTGCCTGGGCCTGGTTGAGTGGCTGGGCAACTGGATATAGTATTTCCCATGATGACACTGGTAATCAACTCCATGGTGGAATCTACTGTGAGCAGCTGAGTAGCTGCCCTAGGGATGTGGTCTGCTTCCTGAATATAAGGAGAAGCCTTGGGGAATGGTCTCCAGCTTAAGGTAGGCTTATACCCTGCGTGAAGCTGTGTCATTGTTCAGCAGCCTGCCGTGCTCTGCAGACCCTGGGACTTACAGTGGACTTGAATTAATGGCCTACCATGTGGTTTGGAAACATTGGGACTGTGCCTTTTTATTTGTTGGCCTCGGGCTTGTTAGCCTCAGCAGCCAGTAGCTGCCTGAGTGAAGAAATGCCTCTGGCTTCAATGGGCTGGGAGCAAGAGGCAGAGCTGAAGCCCAAGGTCAAGGGGCTTTCAACCAGCCCTTAGAGCCTGGCACTTTGAACTTGGACTTAAAGCCTCCAAACTGTATGAGAATAAACTCCTGTTTGTTCAAGCCATTCCATTTGTGGTATATTCCTGTCAGAGTGGCACTAGGTAACCAGAACAGATGGCATGTTTTCTAAACCTTTAATCACATTGGGGGAGCTCTTCTGGCATAGTGCCTAAGGCATCTGAATGCTCACCAGAACTTTGGTGGTTCAAAGCCACCAGTCATTCCTTGAAAGGAAGGTTGGTCAATCTACTTCCGTAGTGATACGGCCTCAAAAACCCAAGGAGGGGTTGCTATGAGTCAGATCCAACTCAACAGCAGTGCTTTTCTTTTTTTTTTTTTAGTCTCATTAGTCCCTTTCCTCTGAACACACTCTTTGCCAAAATCCTTTCTTCAAAAGCGTTGCCCAGATCTGGACATAAATGAAACTGGCAGGTACAGCAAGCTGTCATGACAGGTCTTTGCTATTAACACTCTATTAATTCTTAAGAAACCAGTTCATCCCCTGATGTATGGAAATCTGCAAGATTCTCAGATCTACCATCAAGCCAACTCTACATGGTCTGGAGATAGTCTCAAAAGACTGATTCCAATAAAAAGGTAGGGAGATACTGGAGTTTAGATATTCTTGTTTGCCAAGTGGCCCAGAGACATTGATAAAAGTATCAGAATAAGCCTATAAAATGTTATGTTTCATTAATCTGCCAAAATAGATGAATTTATACATTTTTATAAAATTGGGACTGCTAATGATCTCTATTTTCCTTTCATCTTTTACTCAAGCAACCAATCCATAACTATAAATTAATATTTCATGAGCATCCATTGTGTATGCATAAAGAACTGTATTAGACACGTGTGTGTATGTGTGTGTAAGAGGGACACAGAGCAAGAGAGAGAGAAGAGAACCTAATCCAAGAGAAGATTAGTACATCATGTGTAGCCCATTGGTTATATGGGTCACATAATCAGGACTTCTGACCAAGAAATGTTCTGGTTCCCCAAGTTAATTTCCCCTCTTGGAGCCTATGCTTCTCTTTTCCCACAGCCTACCTTTCATCTTTCCTTCCACAGCACAGAACTGAGATTGCCTCAGGAGAAAAAAAGCTCCTTGGTGCTGCTCCACAGGAAAAAGATGAGGCAGTCTGCTTTCACAAAGATCACAGCCTTGGAAATCCTATGGAACAGTTCTACTCTGTCCTATAGGATAGCTATGAGTAGGAATCGATTTGATGGCAGTGGAATTGGTATTTTTCGGTTGATGTCACTATGGGTTACTGATAAGGTATCAATTAAATGCCTAGTAAGTTACAAGCAAGAGTTCCCAGATTTATTATAAGTATTAAAAGATCATCTTACCTACTGTCAAACACACACAGACACAAATACATTTGTGTTTATATATGTGAATATACCTGGAAAGCCACATTTAATAATTGAAAGAGAGATCCTCTAAGGGAAAAGGAAATGGGATTGGTGTCTATGATGAGGGAATGGAGACACACTGACTTTGTATGATTAGCACACATTACTTATAAAAAGGGGATAAGAAAGATAAGTTAAAAGGCAACTTTACCATATAGCCACACAGACTTCCTGTGGTTTCTCACAGATGGACGTGATGCTGCAGTTGCTCATGCAGGATTTTTGGTTGTCACAGGTGGAAAATCTCACATCACAAAATTTACACAGTTGCCGCAACTTGATTGCACCATTGTTGTCCGTAACCATCATGTCATCATTAACTAGGGTGAAGAGAAAATACATTAAATAATTAATCAATTGTAAGGCAGCCTGCCAATGACTTCCTGATGATGTTTTGCAATTTCAAATAAACTCGAGGCCATGGGAATAAATACAGAGAAAGACAAAATAATTCCTTCAGATCAGAATAGAATTTCTTTCATTTATGCAATTTGTAACAAAAGCTACTGTATGGTAGTATATGTGTGCAGGGGGGGACGGTGGTTGAATAACTTCTTCTATTTGTCAAGGATTATCACAAGACCCTCATTCTACAAAAAAACTTTATCATTCAATCAAGGAATATACATTAACCCACTACATAGTATTGGGTCCTGGAAGCACAATGAAAAGTATTCTTAAGGAAATTACAGTTTAGCTGGGAGAACAGACAATGAAATAGATCAGAGTAACCCATAATAAAGGGAAGGAAAGGGGATGTGGAAGGAGATACCACTCATGGATCAGATGGGCAGATGGAGGTCATAACCAGGCAGAGTCAGGAAGTATGAACTGAGTCAGCCAAGTGAAAGAAGAAGCCATGTGTGAAACAGGACTTAGTCATTATTTTCCTGACCTGCACCCAAAAGAGCTATAAGGACTTTCTTGGCATGGGACTGGTTCTACTGACTTCTGTTGTTGTTATGTGCCGTCGAGTCGGACCCGACTCATAGCGACCCCTCCTTGGGTTTCCAAGGCAGTATCACCACGGAAGTAGATTGCCCCATCTTCCTTCCAAGGAGTGGCTGGTGGGTTTGAACCGCCAGCCTTCTGGTTAGCAGTCAAGTGCCTTAGGCACTATGCTACCAGAGCTTCCACTGACTTCTGCTAACTGTAGGGAAATCAGTTGATTAACCAGCCCTTACTGAGTGCCTCCTTGACACAATTCCAAGCATTGCCAAGGCACTGGGGTCATGAAGGTGAATAAAAGCTAAGTCCCACCTCAAAGATCTACCTCCTGCTACCTCTAAGACTTCATTCCTTACCACTCTCCTCCTTACCCCATACTCATTATCTTTTAGAACACATGCACCTTTCACTGAAGAAGCCAAAGTCTTTCCTTTCTCAAGCTTTCCCTCCCTATCCCTTTGTCTGACTTCTTCATGCCTTCCTGGGCTCTAGTTAAATGTCACCTCCTTCGTGTTAAAGTTGCCTGCAAGTAACTACCTTAGGACTCTACACAAACTACCTCAACACAATGGAAGGTATCCACAAATACTGATTAAATGAATGAATGAATGGATTAATAAATTATAGAGTAATACAAGGAGTTCATACTGGACCCTTTATAAGAGTGGGGAGGAATACTGAACTTCTTCACTCAAATTAATGGATAGAGTGTGATCATAAATGTGACCATTTGCATTCATTCAATAAAATACTGAACATAGACTCTTCTTTGTAACACACATATTGCAAGGTGAGAGGCAATTAAAAAGTGTTATGGATTGAAGCGTGTCCTCCAAAAAGGTATGTTGAAATCCTAACCCCTGTACTTATATATGTGGTCTTGTTTTGGGAAATAGGGTTCTTTATTGAAGATATTATCGTACTGGAGTAGTATGGATCCTACTCGTAACCCCTCGAGTAGTGTTTTATAACAGGAGGAAAACAGACACAGAGAGTAACACATGGGAAAAGACACCGTATGAGGATCCATCTACAAGTCAAAGAATGCCAAGAAATGTCCTGGGCAACCATGAAGGTGGAAGAAATAAGAAGGCATCTTCCCAACAGAGAGAGCATAGACCTGCCAAAGCCCTGAAATTGAACTTCTAGTCTCAATAACTGTGAGAAAATAAATTCTTACTCTTCAAAGCCACCTACTTTGTGGTACCAATAGGAAACTAAGATAAAATGGTATAACATGTTATTCCCTATCCCTTTCCTGAATGAAATTTATTTTCATTGGCAATGATGATAATTAAAGGTAAGAGTTTAGAGAGTTAAATAAATTCAGTTAAAGTTACCAGGCATTTAATCAATAAACATGAATTAAACGATTGCATTTTATGCTAGACTAAGCAAGATGGCCAACCAAGACCACAAGTGGCACTAGACTAGTCACTGGCTATTAGAATGTTGGAAACGTGCCTCCCCAAAGGATAATCATTGAAGGAACATGAAAGAAAAAAACCTTCTCATCTTCTCCTTATGTCTACATGTGCTCCTGTCCCCAAGGGGACAGTTTCAAGGTCCTTACACAGTTACTCTCTATCCTGTGAAATTTAGATTTCTGTCACTGACACTTTACTATGCCATGCCACCTCTTTGTCCCTTGGGCATAGCACCTGTTTTCTGGGCCTCTAAAAATATAAACATACATAAACTTAAGATTTGCTTTCTTGTGGCAGAATTAAATATAGAAGAAAAAAACAAACCCATTCATCCCTCTCAGACCTCAAGCTCATTTCAGGAAGTATATTTTTAGGTAATAAACTATTTTGAAATTCTCAATGTCTCCCAGGCCAAAAGCTCTATGCTTAGCTAAAAATATAGGCAGAAGTGTTCCCTGAACCTTGTGTTAAATTTGGGACCAACAAAACAATGAAAATATTTTTTTTTCTAGCATGGTTAGATGCATTTGCAAAAAACTAATTTAACCTTTAGGTTTTCCTATAAGGCGCTGCCAAAGTACAACAAAGTTGGGTCAGCTTATTTCAGACACACATTTATGCGTTGGTTAGGCAGCTCTGTTGTTTTTCAATGTAAAATCAAACCTCCATGTCTCAGAATTCAGCCTTCCAGCATATCAGGATTTTAACATGGATCAGTAGTTCTCAACTTTGGTGACATTCTGGAATCACCTGGGGAGATTTAAAAATATAATAAAGCCTGGATCCCACCCTGATATTCTGATTGTTCTGGATGGTACGCTGGGTACTGGAGAAGTTCCCTCAGTGATTCCAATGTACAGGCAAGGCTGAGAACCCTGACCTAGAATTAGTTGAAAAAACACAATAATCACAAGAAAAAACTCCCAAATACATGCAAACACACATTTTATTCAACAGTGGAGGGGCAGCCCTCAATACAGCTAGAATTTTCCTTGTGAAAAACATGCACTTCAAGAGATATGATTAGCTGTTTTACACCTCTGATGGGAATAAATTCTTTTCCAGACTGGTCAATCCTTTCCTAGCACAAGCCAAGATGTGTGAGAGAAGTGACAGGAGTAACAACAAAGAAAAACAGATGAGTGTGGTGCTGGAAACAGCAGTGGCAGCCACAGATGCGCTGACAAGTATAAGTGATTTAGGTCGGATGCCTGCAAAAGACAGAGACGCAACAGTGCAGAGACAAAAGGAATGCATTTAAAATGGGGGGCCACCAAACTGCATGACTTTAGGGGGTATCATTTACATTGCAGTTTGTGCAGATGAAGTCTCTGGAGATGTACTGATGCACAATGTGCATGGCTCCCAAGAGGCCTTGAAAGAAAAAAAACCTCTGCATTGAATTTTGGGAAAAAAGGCAAACAGTAGATTGCACCCCTTATTTTAGTAACTGGCGGAATCAAGGATGTGGACAAAGACCCTTAAAGAGCCCTACTATGTGCTAGATAAAGGAGCGCTGGTGGCGTACTGCCTAAGGCATTTCAATGCTAACCTGAAGGTTGATGTTTCAAACCGACCAGCCACCCTGTGGAAAGAAGATGGGACAATCGATTTCTGTGAAGATTTACCATCTTGGAAATCCAATGAGGGTCGCTATGAGTCAGAATCGATTTGAGGGCAGTGGGTGCAGTTTGTTTTTGGTGTGCTAGACAAGGTGCCTAAGTTATTGCATATAACATCATCAGTAGTTAGAAACGGAGGGCTAACTTTTCTCCTTGTTATAGCAAAAACTACCACTGCTAAAGCCAACAGTCTTATTTAGTTTAACCAGCATTTTTTTTTTTAATTTTAGAACTTTTATACTGTTTCTCACCTTTTTGCAGGCATTTTTCATCTCATCATTCACTATAGTTCACCACCTGCCAGCTGCTCCCCATTAGCTGATCCAAAGCCTCCCCACCTTAACAATTCCGATTGGCCCCTGGAGGCATGTACATTTCCAAACCTTGCTTTAAGTCTGTGTTTTCTTGCTACTACCCAGTTTGGGCCTGTAGTTTCTTCTCACTGCACAACGTGTATGTATGTGTATTGACAGGATTTGGTGGGATAGGGAGTTAAGTTTAGAGCACAACCTGAAGGATGATTCCTTTTTTGAGGTTCTTCCTTTACTAATTTTGATAAAAGCTTTATGAAGTGACTCATGAAAACAACATACATAGAAGTTTTTGCTCAAAGTTTGTGAGGGTTCACAGATGTCCCGAAGCTGGTAAACCCCAGTTGAAGAATCCCAAGCTCATTCCGGAGTCTTCCAGAGCCAATGATAACATGCTAAGCAGTACACTGCTAAGCAGAGAGGGTGGAGGACCAACGGGAGCAGGTGAATGATGGGCACAATTGTATCCGTGCATTCCACTCCTCAGGAAAAGATGGTGCCAGGCATAACCCCATCTGTCAAACATCTCCTGGTGTTTAATGCATAATGATCGTGAGGCCAAAGGAATGAAAAGGGAAGTAAAAATAGCTAGAAACAAAGATACTGTTCTAAACTGCAATACAACAAAATCTACCTAATTATAGCATAGTGCCTAAGGCATTTGATGGCTAACCAGAAGGCTGGTAGTTCAAACACACCAGACACTCCTCCAAAGGAAGGTTGGGCAATCTACTTCAGTAGTGATACCACTTCAGAAACCCAAGGAGGGGTTGCTATGAGTTGGGTTCAACTCAATAGCAGTGAGTTTGAGTAATCAAAAACCAAACTCACTGCCTTCAAGTTGATTTGACTCATAGCGACCCTTCCTTGGTTTTCCAAGGCTGTATCTCTACAGAAGTAGGTTGCCCAATCATCCTTCCAAGGAGTGGCTGGTGGGTTTGAACTGCCAGCCTTCTGGTTAGCAGTCAAGTGCCTTAGGCACTATGCTACCAGAGCTCTTTTGTAACCCTAT